TTAACAGATTATTGCATTACAAACCTTGTATTATACCTCGATATCTGTGATTATACTATTTACGCTGTTGATTACAGGAAACGACATTACATTAGATCATATTTTAGACTATCGGGAATTTAGAGCCGACACAGTCCTTGGGTGGACACTATGTTTTGCGTGGATCGCAAATGCAGTGGTTGGGTAAGTGTTTCTAGAAAGAAAACATATAGTGTGTTTGTGGGGGGAGTTAATGTTTCGATAGCCGGGCCAATTTAGAGTTTAAGCTAATTTTAGACTGTCAGATACAGTTAAAGTGTATAATTCACGACTTTCAAACTCGTTGGCAAACAAGATTTGGACAGTATCAAGTATCTCCCTCACCGAGCTCTAACTAATCTTTTTTCTTAATACATAAATAGGATTTTTATGCTTGTCCGGTTAATCCAACGTGCCCGCCTGGTGTTGGATTTTACCTTAACCCTGCATTTTTTCCACTTCATAATAACTAGTTATTATTCTGGACATATACCTACGACATTTGTATGGTGGGTGCTTAATATAACCACCTGTTGTATTATGATATTCGGAGGGGAACTATATTGTATGCGGAAGGAGATGGAACCTATTATACTTGATGATGGAGAAAGTGGAAATTCTGGTACCAATGCCGGTTTATTGGGGAGCGGTTCCGTGGTCAAGGGCAGGAGAAGTGAAGATGTTGATAGGGATAGATATGAGATGGTGTCTATGGAAGAAATAGAGATGAGATGAGATGAAGTGGAATGGATGGAAGTTTGTTTCTTAAAATTCCCATTATTTACAGAGACAATTGATGTTAAGTTTTCCAGACTAATAGAAACAGTATCATTAGTAGCATACTTGTTTGAACTATATAGTGCGTGTTATTTCATATTCTGGATTTCAGATGTCAAGATGTTCGCTCTTTAATATAGATTATTCATTATGTACAGATGTGTACCAACAATAGACAACCATTGCTTAACAAGTTATTCTGCAAGTATTTTTGGAGGAGCATTAATTTTTATTCATCATGATATACCGGTTGATATTGGGCCTTGCGATCTTAACACATCCCGAGGGTTGGGGAGGATTATAGAATATCTTTTATGGAGTCATGCTTGCTCCAATTCTTCAAGCGACGGTAACCAAACAAATCGACTTTGAAATACCTGACTACAGAAACAGCACACAGCATACGGAACTCAACCATCTATGTACCGAATCTATTTGTGTATTCGGGAAGGAACGCTGAGCCATAACAGGATGAAACGGTTGCTCGAAAATATAGCACAAAGTATCGCTGGATGCCCAAACCACAGAACAACTTGTTTGGTTTCATCAACGTTGATCGTTGACATCGAGGCATATATAAAAGAGTAAAACGGGTACGGCAATGCATTTATTATCAGAGGTTAGGATGACAATTACCCAGAATCTTTGGAATCGCCTCCCATTTACTATTACCAACTAAACATATAGATTGTTACATGGGGCATGCTGAGCCAGATAAATTGAACATATGACGTTATATTTAGCTTTCCACGGTAGCATCACCCGTTATCTCTGTAATCGATAATATCTCTTCTCGAGCCGTTACTTGATTCCCAGTTGCTTCCGAAATAAACGTATCCAAGTTGGGTGATTTCAGTCCGGGTGTTATGAGTGATGATTAAATCGGCTCGTGCTTTGAAAACATCTTCAAGAAGAAATCCAAAGCTCATAAAAACAAGAAAGGATCAAATGTTGGGAAAAGCCCTTTCTTAGAAAGCAGGTGGATGGTTGTATTGTTAATTTCCGATCATTATATAAAATATCGAGTGAAGATACTCTATCGCGAGGAACTTTTATTGACAACGAGATGCTCGCTAAAGCCCAGTTTAAGCTGTTTTTATCTATCTACTTACATTTAGAAGAAGAGGAAAAGCCCCATTTATTGGGGAATATATCTACTTTTTGCAAGTGTATAAAAGATTGTAATTTACTGGGGAAATCCCAGGGAGTAAATGGGTCTACTTGCAAGTCTATAGAGCGTAAAAAGAGGATCGAACGAAAAAAGAGGATCGAGTGAAGATACCGCAGTCCGTCAATGATATCGATACCAAGCTTGTATCTAGCGGGCCGTCCAATTCAACAGATGGGTCCGATAAATAACTTCGTAATGAACCGCTATCAGCATATTCGAAGACCATGACATATCTCTTTGGCGGAGATTTGATCGAAGAATTCGTTTAATGTCATGTTCGTAGTTATGCTGTGACCCAAACCATAGAAAAATTTAGATTGAGAAAGACACTAAATACCAAGTGAACCAGAAGGTCACTCAAACATTAACTAACATCAGAAATACCTGAATTTGAGATGGGTACGATAGCTTTTCCAATTGGAACCAACAAATTTCAGATTGTCTGTTGGCTGCTGCGCTATTTCTATTTCGTATAGACTGCTTCTCTCCCGTCTCTCTTGCAATGTTCTCTGAAAAGCATGCTCTACGTGCCAAAGATGAATTTGTATGGCTGTCTTTTTCGCGCATGCTGTTTCAACTGCATTAATATTAATCTCGCCGCCAATATCTTTATCGAATGTTGGAAGAAAGGAATCTAAAATGAGCTTGATGATGTCATTTCTCCCAATAACAGATAAACTGTGAGAATAGTGTGATATCCAAAAGCTCTTACAAATCATTCTTGAGGTAACAAGTTGCTTCATAACGTTTTGTATATGAGCGCCCAATAATAAAACGGAAGAAGCAACGTTTGCTTTATCAGTAGCGAATTAGATGTGATACACTATATCGCGGTTACTCCAATCCTAAATGAGGCGTTTTTCATCCAAGCCGCAGTTTTTTATTTCAGCTCAATTCCACTTTTCGAACACAAGAAAGACTTTGAGATTTAGCAGGAAAAAATTTAAAGACTACGAAGAAATCGAAAAAGCTCCGGAAGAAAAAGCGCGGGGAATTACCGCACTTCTCATATTGAATTTGAAACGGAGAATCTTGAACGATCTAGTGTACAAAGGTAAAGGTGTGATTCAAAAGATAATTATAATTGTTCAAAGCAGATATCACGTTCAACAGACATCGGGAGTAGCAGTATAAATGCTCGAATATGATAGCTTATGCTTTTTTCCTTCAAACTCATCCGCCGCCTCTTGACATAAAAAAAATATGATTTTACATATAGAAGACTTTTTTGTTAAGTGGCATAAAAAACTGTTACGATTGGGGCAAGACAAAGCGAATTATTTTTATAAATAAACTTTGTAATTTTAATCCTTATACAAACGCGTATGATTGCACAAAAAAGAATCAATAACAATTACATTCTTTACTCATAGTTTTCGAGGTGTAATTCCAAAATCATAATAAAAACTCGCCGTATAGAATTATTATTCAAAATGTTTTTGTATCTTGGCACGATAAGGTATAGAAATGGCGTAGTATCATATGAATGCGATTGTTTTACATAATTATTCGTTACATGTCGAACGCGATAAATGTCATGTGTTATAGCTTGTTGTTAAGGATCGCTTGAACATGCAAAGACAGTTGTCACGAGATCAAGTCTTACCCCAAATAAAAGCTTAATAATAATTGTGGCAGATTAATAATGAAACCTTTTGGTCATGGGTTCATCGGCAACTGCTGTTAATATGGCGAAACCGAGATTCAAACGCTATACGCAACGACTATTAGAACATTACCGGCGCTCCTACTTACATAATTGCCGGAAACTGTTAACATTCTGTTCAGCTTGTAGTGAAAACCAAGCCATAATAAAACATTGTCCTTTTTCTTATTGGTTGGCTGGTAGCCCATTAAACGTTTGGTGCTCTATATTAATGAGATATACTAATCCAAGTTGGAAAATCAACATTTATGTATCCTATTTACAATGCCTATTTTAGATTGGTTTATTCAATTCAAAGAACATGTAACCTTAAATGTTCAAAAAACACCCCGCCCATCAGAGGGAGAAGGAAAAAAAAAAAGAGTAAATTATCCGTATTAGTATGCAAGTAAATTGGCCGATCAACAAAACCTCAGAGAAATGTCAACCAACAAACGAAAAAAGCTTGTGGCGTTAAATTATCTCTGCCATATGACATATGATTGTGCTGCAAGAAAACGAAGATCAATTCGTGCGACATACCAATGCTGGACTGATAACTGTGCTACGTACAATCCGATTGGCCATTGGGTGCATTCACACGCTTTTATATGAAAGGATTAGTATTGATTTGGAACCAAAAACTGTAACTTTCAACACTTCTCATATGCCAATGCTTTCACACTCAATTGGCCGTTTATATCATAGATAACGAACTCGAACATCTCGGATGATCTTGGATTTACTTACCCAATGCCGAAACTGGTATCGCGCACGGGCTCTCAGTACATTCTCGTTAGATAAAAGGTTTTCTCAAATAGGTGGCAAACGCGCATTCTCCAACATTTCATTCAAAGAGGGAATTATTTAATCGCGAAGCCCCTCCCGCAAGCAAACGTTACACGCAAATTTTTCATACCCGCTTTTCTGCCATCATCTGCAGGGCTTTGCATAGCCTCATTAAAACTTGTACCTTTTTTTTTTGCTATTCAATGAGTCGCACTCGCAGAGCGAAAGACAAGACACATACAGATATTCTTCCTCCCTCTCCTCCCCACTCCCACTAGTGTCACCCCCCCCGCCCCCCAACTTGCCTATTCGCTTTGTGCTAACACAACCCCCTTTTGTAACACAGCGATTTTATTATATCGCGTTATTCACAGAGGATTCTTAAGACGTTTTCGAAGATAAGAATAGGACAATCGCTAAGAGCTGTAGACAGCTTAAATGAAAAAAAGGCAATATACTGGATATCAATATATTACCCAGAAATAAACGTACAGACACCCATACACATAAACCTCGATTCCAGGCAGTAGGCAGATTCTGTTCATCTACTCCTACTTTCTATACCTCCCTTTTCGAAACTAAAACAAATATACCCTAACAATGATCAATGGGTTATCAGATTCTTGCACAATTTCTGACCCGCAAAATGGCAAATTGCCTCATATCAGCCTTTTCTTGAGCATAACCATATGCATAACCACATCGTGCATTCAGTCTCTCGGTCTGACAATTCAGAGAAAGTCGCATGTGCTGAACGGGAATCTTTATCCAAAAGAGAAGCGTAGGTCGGCATGTCGGCGACCGTTATGGCATCTGGGATTTGACTTGTATATCATCTCGAACGTAATTGGAAGCATATTTGCTATCGGAACGCTGCCAATTGTAATTCTTGCGCCATTGGGAGCGTCAACGTTGGTATTCAACGCATTCTTTGCAAAATTGTTGCTGGGCGATGTCTTTTCGGCACAATCGGCTGTTGGTAGGTTGAAATGTGTGTTTGGGGTTGACGAAGAGTCCCGGAAGTAGAGACTGGTTTTTGGCAGGAGGAAGAGGGGAAGGGGTGATGGATGGAAGGGGTTGTTAAGATTGTAAATTTAGCAATTGGGATGCGGGATAGAGTTTTTTATGTACGTAAAATCTTTATCGTTAACGTCCCAAAGTGTGTTGTATATATACCACTGTTTTACTCATTTTTTAATGACTTGTAGGAACTGCCTTTATCTTATTTGGGGCTCTAATGATCGGCCTGTTTGGTGTTGTACCTGAACCGGATCATTCTCTCGAAGACCTGCTCCAACTCTGGCAACGTCCTGTATTCATTACATATTTTTCAATATTTACCTCTGTCATGTTACTATTGTTATTTCTCAACAGACTGGGCGTACGTGTGTTAAAACGTCTTGGTCGTGACGATAGAGATCCGATATTTGGTTTACCTACAATGACATTCCAGACATTGCTTGGTGTCTCGTATGGATGTGTTGGAGGTGTATTATCAGCACAATGTCTACTACTTGCAAAGAGTGGAGTCGAATTGATAAAGGTTACGATACGTGATGGAGTAAATCAATTCGACAGACCATTTAGTTGGTTTCTCGTTATTGCGACTTTGGTCATTGCTCTATTTCAGGTAATGATATCTTATATCATATGTCAGTATTTTAATAGTTGTAGCCAAAACCTGTCGTTAATTCAAATATTCTGCATCACAACAGCTCTATTACCTTAACAAGGGTCTGCGTTACTGCGACACAGTTCTCTTGGTACCGCTTTCATTCTGCACATACAATGTATCATCAATCTTCAACGGCCTTGTATACTATAACCAATGGAGCTGTTTAACGTTGTGTCAATTACTACTCGTAACCATGGGTGTTGCTATATTACTCAGTGGCGTGCTCATTCTATCTTGGCGCCAGGCCACTTCTGAAGCAGAGCTCGACGAAGAAAGCTTATTACTTGCACATAATTCGGAGGATTCCTCAGACGCTGCGAGATCTGGCTCGGAAATTGTAGATTCCGGAGCCGGTCGGTCGACGGATGGAGAAATATTGCCATTTGAGCAAATGTTTGAGGAAGACTTATACGACTCTGATGAGAAAACATCGCTGTTGAGGCATAAAGGAAAGAAGTATCGAAGCATCTCTAGGCAAAACGATCTGTTTCGGTCATGACAATGCAGAAAAGATGAAGAAATCCAGGCTAACCAGATTAGGGCGCAAAGTCCCCTTGTTGTTGAGTCGTTGTGTGAATCGCACAACAGACAATAACATGACTTTGCCATCGAAACACATTCGATTGTATAGTATCCATTTTAACTAAATTTTTTTAATAATAAAGTCGATATAGAAGAATGTACATTATTGTTTGGGGGGTTAAAGTGGTCCTGGTATGTGCCCTGACTTTCAATAACTTGGTTGTTGATGTCATTTTTGCGGCATATTAGAAGACCTGACCTCTCAATCGTGAAGACTATGTGCATTAAAAGGCCGCTTTCGATCAATCGTTCGAAAGATGTCCAAGATTTACGCTTAGAAGGTTGCTGCCTTGTTTAGTGATGTGAACACTTTCTACTTGATCTTCATGCAATACGTATAGTTATTTTCTTTTTCAATCTTTGGTTTAATTTGTTTTGCTGAAGAATAAATTAGGATCCTTTTTGAAACACAAAAGTGTTGCATTGTGGGGGTGGTGAAGAGTTGCCGGTGCATCGAGATGATGAGTCTAAATTTTATGACTGATAATACCGTTACAGAATCAAAAAGTGGGCGTATTTTTTTCCCGCCAAAACAGACGAATAATAAAGACCTATGCACTATTTCATTCCATTACTTGCCGAATTTATGAAAATCTATTAAAAAACGTCAATTTCCTTTTCAGTGGGGAAAGGTAAATATGCGCAAAACCTTATTTTCCATGTTACACGAACTTTTACTCGTTGTTGGACTTAGTTTTTTTTCTTCCTAATACTTTTTCATAGCGAAACATGATAACGTTCGATAACTTACCGACAGAGATTCTGATACTCATATTCTCACATGTTTCCCCAGCATACAAATGTCGCCTATGTCTATGTTGTCGAAGACTCAAAGATATCATATACTTGACATCCGGATACTGGAACGATCTTAATTTATCTCCATTCTGGAAACGCCTTAAAAACGAACACCTAATCAGTCTGCTGCGAACACGTTGGAGACTTGGTCCGCCATCCCACCGTCAATCGACTGGTCGTAAACTCGATCTCAGTGGATGCTATCATATACAATCGCATGTTCTTGAGATAATTTCAAAGGAATATTTCCCTATAGACGAGCTACATCTAAACAGAACTCCTCGATACGAAACGTGGATCAATGACCCATGGTTGATCGATCAATATTATACAGACAATCCTGCATTTAATACTTCCGGTCGATTAACATATTGGAATGTACCAAGCTCTCGCTTCAACAGGGCAAACAGGGTAATGAGATCCAATACCACATTGCAAATTGGTGTCAAGGCGGTAGAGCTTGCATTACCACAAACATCGAGAACTTTGCGATCACTATCATTAGCAGGTCTACAATTCCACCAAAATGCAAAAGCAGCGATGGCCATTAGCAGCTGTACCCAGCTGACTGAACTCGATCTTAGTGGAACGGATATGAATATTCCAGCACTCAGATACGTGTTGGCCAGCTTGAAAAAATTAGAGTCTCTGAAGCTGCTTGATGTGCTTTTAGATCCATTTACAATGATTATTATAGAACAACTAACTAGTCTTCGGTTACTACACGTTAGTGCATCTGATATAACGACGGCTGGGATTGACCCTGTAGCGAGAATCGTTAGAAAATTGCATAAATTGGAAGACTTTAGACTGAATCAGATTATCGGAAAGTTAGATCTAGTTATCGATGGGTTACGAACGAGAACGTCCCTGAAGCATTTGGAGTTATCCCCAAAGACGTATCGGGGGTACACGGGAGAAACCGTGGGTATGGCTGACATAAAGCTCAGTAACATGGCTCTTTCTTGTCTGGCGACACATCACCTGAATTTAGTTACACTTCGTATAATTAATGCATCACAAATAACGGCAAGAGGCCTTGATAATTTGTTATGTGCGCTTCGTCATCTGGAAGTATTAGAATTAAGACGATGTGAAACGCTATGGTTGGATCCGCTGAGGAAATTGACACCGGAGTATTGTCCGTTACTACGAATATTAGTATTGAACGGCATTGATATTTACGATTATTCGCAATGGACTGACGGAGATAGATTGTTCGAGTACTTGGAAGTTCTTGATATAATGGATACGCCCGGATTTAATACTCAAGTAATGAATAGGCTACTCGACAAGTCAAAGAAATTGAAGAAATTAAGATTCTATGGAACAACGGTGGACGAGAAGCAAATACCAATGAATAAACTAATTAGCTGTGTGAATAAATGGTGGGATGTAAAGTTCAAGTAAGGGGCACCCCTGCCATTTCAACGTTTGGAATACTTTGGAAACCAGCGTAATATTTAACGTTTAGCGAGATGCATAGTCTGAAAAAAACCAAAAGCAAGGACATTTTTTACATCCTTCTTGATGAGAATGGGGCTAGAATGCCCACTATAAATAGTATGATTAAACAATTATTATCATCAGGGACAGTAGAACCATTTTGATAGTTATAACCAATCCTTTCCTCTCACGATATCGCCATAGCTCTTCCATTTCGATCTCTTTTTTTTCCACATCATAATAATGCATAGGTAATAATGCAAGAGCAATGATCTGACACTTCATAAGACCGTTTTGTTCACGTGGATTCAGCTAGCTGGCATATATCTTACAATGACACGCGTTTATGTTTAATATGTTTGCGAAGTTGCCACAAGAATTCGCCAGATAGGTACGGTAAATTGGTATACCTTA